TTCTCTTTTCTAAGGTTAAGTGTATCTATTGATTGAGGTTTCCTGACAGATGTATCACATTAATCATTCAGTTTATATATATCTGTGTATGCTTTCATTTCACAATAGGGAGAAAACTCAGTTTCTCTTAACTTCGCTCCATTACTACCTACTCACCGTTATCTAGATTTATTCCAAGTGTATTCATTATTTTATTTGTTCTGTTTTTTTGTCATTTTCTATATACATGTAGGTCATGCATAGAAATAAATAAACATTCCGTTGATCAGTAAAGTGGGAACTATGAGTCGACTGTTTTTGCCCTAATTAATGCTTTTCCCATTATATAACATATGTAGGCTGAAAGTTGAGTCTGACCACACAACAATCCTCGTACAGCGTCTTGCAGTAGAAATGATGCAACCTGAATGCTAAAAATATGGAAAATAACATTACCAATAATATCCTTCATCCTAATATATGTGTAAAACTTGGGCACTCTGGTAGTATTTAATTGCATATTAATTTGTTATATACATATATATATATATATATATGTCGGTGGAACAGTGGTTAGGATTCTCGCCGACCATTCACATGGTCCGAGGTTCGATCCCCTGCCAACGCACACCTGATATCTGTGGTCGGCCTTCAAAATTTGGGCTACTGATATGCATGGTGAAAATTCCATACTTGTACCAAAAAGACAGTGTGGAATCAAGCTCCAATCAATATATATATATATATATATATATATATATATATTTGGTTGGAGGATTTCATCATGAGCTGACAATAATTAGAGAACCGTTAGCAAATCACCAAGCAGTAGTAGACAGCCGTCTTATCAGCCCAGTTTATGGCTCTTCATCGGTACGCACCCATCATGGTTCGAACCCAGGACCTACTGGTTACAAAACTAGAGAGCTCGTAGAGCTGTCAAGCCACTGGAACCCTACTCTTCAGTGGTTAACCCATGATTTCCAACTTCTGCCAATTCATGACACAGGCCAACGACTGAGCAATATCTCCTTCCATGATTTACTGCCTCACCTTTAACCTGCTGTATCCTACTAGCCACGGCTTTCCACTAGAACCGCAGGTTAACTACGTGAATAGGGCCAGTCGCTAGTGAGTATCAGATTAATTTTCCAGTATTGGTTATCTAGGGATTTTGTTTGATTGGATGGAGAATTTCATCATGAGCTGACATCAGTTAGCGAACCACTGGAAAACCAGGGAGTACTGGACAGCTGTTTCGTACCATACATCAAACATTGAGTGAGACAGTATTGTTTACTGTATGAAAAAGTTTTGAACACAATTTATCATTGTTCATAATCATATCAATTATAAATCGTACGATTTCGAAACTTCCGTTTTATAGTTTTCATTATTCCTTCCTATTTGTCGTAGGGGTAGTAGAATTTTCCAGATATCTGAGACAGGTATTGAATCATTCCTGTTACACGTGTGTGCCATTGATTTGATGAATAAGGCTTCCGTTGTCATCAACATCTCCCTCCACCCTTTTTAACTAGATTTTAAAACTGTCCCCTTATCTTGCCCTAGTGTATGGTTGTGTAATTGCATGTAGTGCTATAGCTGAACTATTCTCTAGATTTCTTATCTTATTCGAGTCAACCAATCTAGATTTTGCTAGGTTTTTATGCTGTGCTAGTCTGACTGCACCTGTTCAACTACTTTGACCTATATATTTGACCTGACAATCATTCCAGCATGGTATTAGATAAACTAAATTGTTTTATTTAGTTGGCTCCAAAGGATCCTTCAACAGACAAAGCTTATTTCTAATTGGGTTTGTGCATTTGAATACCAACCACTTTTATTCCTTTACTGTAAGGAATTCTCCGTAAGGTTTCCGAGGTTCCTTCTTTTGTATGGAAGTACTATTGATGATTTATATTCCCTATTGTTGGTGTTGTCATTATCCTGAGAATGCATGATACGCATGTCATCATTAATATGATTATTATTATTCTCACTATCACTACCATTATTACTAATTTTAATTTTACAATTTCCTGCATACTTCCAGACTAATTTATCAGGGTAATTATTAAGTTTCAAAGCTTCTCTTATATGCCTCAATTCCTGTCTTAGATTTTCCTTTGTACTAGTTTTTGAGCCCCATTACTTAAACATTTCACCAATCCTATTTTTACTGACAAGGCGTGGGATAATCGGAAATCCAAATATCGGACACATTATCTCAAAGGTAGAGGCAGTTCAATTCACTTATGAATTTGGAAAATCAAGAAGGAGAGCTTCTAATGTTAGATTGTAACATAAAAAGCAAAAGAAGATGAGAAGTTAAACACTAGTGTTTACAAAAAAACACCACACATTCAAACTGATATATGCCTAGGTGATATCAAGACACCTAGCATGGTAGCCACATTGTAAACTCGATTGAAGCAATTTTCCCAGCACCAAACTACCTAACGCCCAATCAAAATATCCTTTACAGTTCTACAAAAGGTCAATGCGAAGCCTGTCTCCGACTGCAGCACTGGATGACTAAATTTTGAATCTCAGGAAGGACATGAGTTCCTTCAAGATTTCAGATGCTCCTTGCTGACTGATGAGGGCCAAGATGCACGAAACCTAAGTTAGTTAAGGCTTTATATCGATCTCCTTCAGCCATCTAATAACAATGTTTCATTTGTATAAAACCTTATTATTAATATTAGTGCTCAAAGGATTTATTTAACAAGTTACTACTGAGTATTAAATAGAACTGCTGAATACAAATAATTACAATTCAGTCTTTCAATGCTGGCAGCTAACTTTATACTAATGTTTCAAGGAATATAGGGGAAAAAACCCCTCTTCGTTTTGGTGATTTTGTTAATCCTGAGAATTTTGCACGTGATAAACTTCACAGGCTAAAAATAAATGCAAAAAAAAATTAGGCAGATAAAATATACACGAGTCATGCTCAGTGAAAACTCATTTCCTCTTCGTCATCTACCTTCATTTCTCACTGTCTTTCAACCGTTAAAATAATTGGATATAACGTATATAATTAATATAGTAGGGATTTACATAATCCTTCCTTCCTTCCTTTGAATAACTTATTTTTAATCTCTCCAGTAAAAGTTGCATGTGTTTGAATCTTTAAAAAAAATATTATATGAGCTTTAATCATTATTGATAAATGTAGTTAGATAATGGAATTATCAAGAAATAATTTCCTGTACTACAGTTTTAAAGTTTCAAGTTTAACTTCCTTTCACTTATGGCTTTCCCTTGTTAATTACGAATTTATTATTGTTATTATTATTATTACTATTTTTACTATGTTTTCCATTTCGTCATTATTACTTAAAAGTATTCTGTTTCTCATTGTGTAATTCGACTGAAATGTCTATTTTTATAAGACCGATTTTACTCTCAACTCATTACGCAATCAAAAGTTTCATTGTCTAATACAATATATAATTATTTTTCCTTATCTTAAGGATAGAATTTAACAAAAGTTAAGGCTAAATATGATTATGTTTTTATTTCATAACCAAAAGAAGTCCCAGGTTAGTTGGGGGGATTGACATCGTTTAGAAGACAACTGTAAGTCAGAGAGTGCTGAACAACTGTTCCCCCCACTAGTTCGACACTCTTCAGGAGTACGCAGCCATAACCTCACTGACGATTGAATTCAAGACCTTCGGGTTATGAGGCGAACTTGTTGACCATTCCGCCACTGGAACGGAATCTGATAGTTCATAATTTCTAACTTCTGTTGGCCAATGTCTTTGAGGCGTAAATGTCCTGAAGCCTGATTTCGTGGATTCCATTAATCACTACTATCTCAGTCTCATAAAATTATATCGACTGTCAAAAACCTTAGTGTAACTATTTCGTAACCATTTTTGAATGGCTTAATAGCCTAATACGTTATATGTACCCATCATAACAACTATTATAATCCGGTTAATGAAAATGAAATGAATATTATTCAGATGGTTGAAATAAATAACTTTCTTTGTTAAACTATTAATAAAGTGCTAGAGGCGTTCACCTGGTCCTGAATGAGGACAAATAATCACCGATGACATTAACTGGTGCTAATCGCGCTAAAAATTCACGAATTTGTAGAGGTTAGAACTCAAGGTCTAGCCATTGAGGTGGGTCCCAGTGGTTGAATGGTTCACCTGAAGGTCCAAGATTCAAGCCCTAGTAATGGGTGCATACTGCTAGTGAATACTGATTAATGTTAGACAGTTCACATGCAAATAAGTTACACTATATAAATGAACGCTAACTTTAAAAGTGACTACATCTGATGTTAATGTGACGTAAATATACTCACAAATCACTCATAGACATCACTGTTTTTTCTTTCCTTCACATTTCCAGTGAAACATAGGGCTACAAGCTAGTGGGTTGAAGTTTCTGTAGCAGTGTTTAATTTTACAGCATGCCCAACGTTTCCTCTTCACCAGGATTATTTCTGGCTTAGCGAGGTCAAGGAGTGTGTCGGCCGGGGATAGAGCCCCGGACCATATGCATGGTAGGCAAGCGTCCCAACCGCTGTGCCACAGACGCCTATAGACACCGCTTAGTTATTTTTTATTAATTTTTTATGAGACATTTGTAAAACAGTTACGACAAACATTCATTCTTTATAAGGAACATACAGAATATTATACGTTCTAGTGAAGATTTACAAAATGATACTAGAGTTTCTCCTAACCATAGCATTTTGCGTGCTTACAACCGGCTAATGGAGGTAAATCTATGCGTTGGGTGGGAATTGAACGAAGGACCATACGGGTAGTTGAATCACTGACTCACACAGTATGCATTCACGACAAACAAATTTGATCCATATGAACAGATCTGCATTTTGGTTTACTTCCATATTTTGATTCTTTTTATTGGGTGTTATGTTAAAAAGAAATGTATCGTTCACTGGCAAATCTATGCTTACCAGTAACAAATTAACTCTTGGTCAATAGTTTACTCATCTTCCTTTCTTTTTCTGCTTTTCTTTTTAGGCCGCAGATGCTGAGGATGAAATAGAGCTGAGAGAAGTTTTGAAAAAATTTCGTCAATCTCTTAGAAATGCAATTAATCCAAGAAATTTGAACAAATTTATTATGTCATTCATGTCGTAAGATTTCCAACTTTAGATATTATGCCTATTTATTGCCTATATTATGATTATTAATTATCTATATTAGTATTGCATGTATAATAGTATACATTGCTACAGACGACAGTCAATGATTAATAGATTAATGGCTAGGTCTGTCTCTCTATCTACCTCCCTCTCTCTCTCTCTCTTCACCTCCAATTGACGAGAACATGAATCTTGTGAGGAGATATGCTTTTCATGAAGATATTAATTGTGTGCCGGTGGTGAATGATCAACGACAGGATGAATACACAGGATCAAACAAGATATTTCACTAAAATCGAATAGCTGGATATGAAACTGTGCTTCATCGAGTTTAAAACATGTTGGCAGACAGATACCAGGCAATACTCAGAACCATTTAATCATATTGGTAACGACAAACTGAACAGTGATTGACTAAAAATCTAATACCATACCTTATCAGAGTGTAGGTATTATTTGAAAAGAAATATCATAATGCGAATAATTATTCAAGCGCATCGATCTAGTGGGTTTCTTTTTCTATTTGTCGCCTTTTTTTATTCCTTCACATTCCCAATGGAATATAAGGCTTCAAGTTTCAGCTTTGAAGTTTCAGTTGCATTGATGTTTATTGCTTACGGAGGTAGCTGCTGGCCTCCAGCCCCCAGTCGTCTCTCTTTACCGGGATTAATACCGGTTAAGAGAGGTTAAGGATTGTGGCGACTGGAGATCGAACATCGGATCACATGCGTGTTTGACGAGTAGTCTACCACTGAACCACTGACGCACTCTCTCTAACTCGCCTTATCATAACTGCAGAATTTCAGTGAAAAAAGAAATTCCGGTTAATTAAAAAAACAAAGTGAATGAAAACAGCTGTAATCACATTAACTAATCAGTTTGTCGTAAGAAAAACAAAACTAGCATGAGATTACTTAATCTATTAGTCAATCAGTGCAACTATCCTATTTTTGTATTATCCGAATATTTAGCCACAACCTATGTCTTATTTAATTTACAATGATGGGTGTAACTGCTGGTATTCTACCCACTGCTCAGTCTACCCTTTTCTACAGGCTTTCTACCAGTTAGTAAACGAAGCATGGCGAGGTTAAGGAGTGTGTTGGCCAAGAATCGAACCCTTGGCCAAATGAGACGTGGCCGGTAAACATTGTAACACTGAGCCACAGACGCATATGACGAATACTACTTCTTCCGAATAAGTAGTTTAAAAGAAAACTTTAATTTTCCACTCATGCATGTAATATGTTTTATATTAATACATCACTTCTTAATTAGCTGTTATATAAGGGTTATATTCTAATAAAAAAGAGATAATGTCTTTCTCACACTGGGCTGTATACATTAAAGTACAGCTGAAGCAAAGGCACTTTGTAAACTCAGACCAGATCTTTTTTTCAGCAGGATATGAGCCACACTTATTGACTGAAGGGTGATAACACCCAACTCAACTGCCTATGCTGAATTAGATACAGCGGGATTAGAATATGCGGCCAATTGGTTGAAAGTTGGGTGCGTATATCTCTCCGCTAGTGTCGCTAACATCAGACTGTTTGATTTTCTTCGCGAAAACGTAATCCGATCTGAATACCATTCATTTTGTATATTAAACCATGATAGAAATTTGGATATTAATTACACTTTGTAGTACACACACCATCATTGAATATTTCGCTTAATTAATTAATAATCTAAGGGCAAATATGCATTTACAAGTGACTACTACTCGTACAAATTCAGATTATAACATAAAATGTTGAAACTAGATCAGAGTGTATAAGTAAACTATGATTATAAAACTGACTTCATATTTAAGGGTTCTATTTCAAACATTTATATATATGACTGACATTAGTCAGTTAATTCAATCTAAATTGATATAACCTTACATAACCTTTTTCATACAGACTAATTATTTATTCTCCTTATTGTAAACATTCATTTTTAAAGTCCTCTGTAACTCAGATATCATTTCAATGTACAATTCATTTTTCAACTTAAACTCATCAAATTTGAGAAACTTTACAATTTTATAAATAGCCTTTGTATACTTAGTATACAATTGGTGGATGGTGGCTAGCAGTGGAATCCAGGATGCGCATTTCGTCCTATTGGGACTCGTCATCTGGATGTTCGTGCACTCAGTGAGTGATCATCACTCACTGAGGCACGAACATCCAGTGACGAGTCCCAAATAGGACGAAATGCGCATCCTGGATTCCACTGCTAGCCACCATCCACCAATCGTATACTAATCAAATACCCAGACATCGTCGAAGCATCTGCACAAGAAGCCGACATGTCAACCTGAGACCGAGCACTTCGGTCCAATCAATCGACGGGAAAATCAAAAATTCAATTCAGCCTTTGTATACTTTTGAAGTTACTTATTCTCCCTACTTTTTCACTTAATTTTTTATCATTTCATAGAAGAATAGTGTGTTAGTACAATAAAACAATTTGTTAACCCCCTGTACATATAATATTCTCCATATGTAGTGCATAACGAGAAAAACGATATTGTGGTTTAAACTAAATGTTAGTATTCAACTGATAAACTGTTTATAGAAAGTTTTTAAGTTAAAGCAACCGCATTCTTTGGAGGCATTTATTTAAAAGTCTACTAAATTCCCTGAGTGCCACTAATATATCACTATAATGTCATCAGTATAATAAGTTCAAAAGCAGTATGCTTGTAGGTCATCATTAGTGTATCCTTTCTTGAGTTCTAGTTGAAGCATAAGTTTTCATGTTAGAGGGCTTGGATTTTCAGCAGACATATCGCCTTAACGGAATAGGTTTCCTAGCTTCAAGCCCAACTTTCATTCTTTTCCAAGTAACTAGCTATCAGCTGGCGAACAAGGCAAGGTGAGGTTTAAAAGTCTGTGTTGGACAAGGATCTAGTTCTAGGTCACATGATGTGGGGTTGTTTGGCATTTAACCACAAATCTCACACACAAATTGTCATTACAGATAGTATCTAAATGAAAGTCTATTATAAAAATATAACATCCGACCCTTATGAACTGACTACTAGAAGTATATACATTTAGGGATCAATTATATTTTGAATCTACAGAATCATGTTACATTTTTTAATTTCTGTTTATCTTTATTGTCATTTTTGTTTAAATTACCTGCCAGAATGAGATGAGAATGTTTGTTAGGCACACATTTAGATTTCATGCCAGTTGATAATCATCAACAATATGTATCAGTCATTTAACGGAAATTCAAGCCTTCACTAGCCTTCAAGAGAAATTTATTGTGATTTTAAAAAAATGGTACATATTCGAACGGTATTGTGTAGCAAAATATACTTCGTCTAATGTAACATTATCTGTTATAAAATGTGAAATTGATACTTAAATCTTCAAAATAAAAATAAACTGTGCTGTTTATGCGGATTATATGCATATTAGAACCATTTGTGGCTTTTAAAAAAAGACTGACTGATAAGCTAAAAGATTTCAGAGAATTAGATGACTGGAATGTTGGTGTCACTTTGAGAAGTGGTTCAACTGGTCAGCAGACACGCTAAGTTTATCCAGTATTCAAAATCTGTTTGTGTATGATGTTTAAATCGGTCCTCTAACTGTAATTATGACTGTATAGGCTTTCTATAATATAAATCTATGCGAAGCAGAAGGACCTGATGGTATGACTCTAGAGGTGTTTAAGAATAGTGGCAATGAACTATTAATTAAAACATTAAGTGATGGGAGGGAATGTGAGACAGTCCCGCTGGATCAGTGTAAATCACCGATTGTCTCAGTCTATAAGAAGGAAAATAAATCTTGTTGTGATAATCACAGGTGGACAAGCTTGACTAACTTAGTATCTAAAATTTCAAGTCCAGTAATCATGCGTGGGCTGAATGGTGTTAAGAAGAAGCACATCCAACGTTCATCAGTCAGGATTTACCCCCAGACAAAAACATTTTGTTCGTATTTTCACCGTTTGACATATTCTGGGAGTCAGATATACTTACCGTATCCAAAACTTGACATATCTCTTGACCGGAAGGCGACAGTTGACTCCATCTACCAGGGGACACTGTGGCAATGTTTGTCCGTGAGGGGAATGGTAAGAAACTATATTAAACTAATTAAGGTACTGTACTTGAACTTGTGCATCCATGTTAGTGCTTACAGAGAGTTTTCAGTTAAAGTGTTGACAGTCACTGGTGTTGGTCGGGGATGCTGTGTTTCCCCATTTTCACCTAACTTTATCATGACTACACTGATAGATGTGAATAAAGTCAAATTTAACGGATAAAAACTCGACTTGTTACCAGAGAGCAGTCTAATCGATTTAGTGTACGCTGATAATATAATCCTTCTGGCAAAATGCAATCTTCTGAACACCTTTGGAAGAAATCTTGATATGTCTAAATTTTGGTTGACCACAGTCAAATGAAAGATGATACTACTTCACCAAGTCCTAGTTTCAGGATGGGAGGTAAAATGATCGTATGTGTTGACCAGTTCACTTATTCGGAAAGCTTCACAGAGTGACTGCTAGCAAGATCTGAGATAGAATGCAAAAGAGTCGTATATCATTTGTCAACTCACGTCATCTCTGAAGTAAACTTGATATCTGACTATCGATCAAATAACGAGATAGTCCACTGTCTTCCTTCATGGATGTGAAATAAGGCCGTTAAAAATGTAGCTTATGAAAAAAGCTAGTTGTATTTAGACATGCGTCTTTGTGTTCTGTCTCAGGCATTAGATGATATTACTTGGTGAATAATATTAAAATTAAGTAAGTAGGGAAATTTAATCGATATGGTTGTGAAGCTACTTCAGTTGATTTGCTTGCTATGCGTATTACGCACACCAAACTAACACTATCCTTAACGAAAAATATTAACTGACACCAGAGTAGTCTGGAGGAGAGTAAAATGTGTGATCAAATCAAAATCTGGCATCGATCAAAATTTGACTTTTGTTTTGGATTGATGCAAGAAGATGCAGACTGCTGAAAGG